TAGACCCAGCCCTGCCACTCCCTGGCCCTATAACTCATCTTTAACACGGACAGGAGGGCAGCTACCTCCCTGGGCCGTTGACAACGAAGAAACCAGCTTGCGACACCGTGGCTGTCAAAGCCTCTGGGCTTGGGCCACAGTGGGAGGGGCAGGGGGGCCCTTCCGGGACCCGCCTGCCCTGTCGGAGGGGCAGGGCAGAGGGACTTGGCAGAGACTCATGGTGGCCCCCCGCACGCAGCAGCCCGTGGTTGCTCACCCAAGTCATGCAGCACACCCTTCTCATGGGGGCCCAGGGGAGCGCTTCCCAACACTTGCCCCGCCTGCAGCTCAGAACCACCCAGGGAGGGGCTGAGCCTGCCACCCACAGCTGCGAGGTCCCTTCCTCCCCATGATTCAAGGCCCTGTCGGACCCCGCCTGAGCCAGAGGAGGGCGCAGCCCAGCAGCACCTCAGGCCACCAGCCTGGACGCTGGACCCCCTGCGCCTGGCCAGGCCCAGGATGAGCTAGCTGTAAGCATCCAGCCTGCCCCAGTCGCAGCTCCCCAGGTCCCTGCTGGGACCCAGCACCCACCCTGGCCCCTTATCCCCTGGAGTCCTCAGACATCTCAAACCTCGAGGCCTTGCAGCCACTCGCCCCTCTGCCAGGACAGTCTTCCCCTAACTGCAGCTGGGATGGCTCCCACCTGTCACTCAGATCTTTGCCCCATTGCCACCACCTGAACGAGGCCTTCCCTGACCACCCCACCTGCAGCACCTCCAGGCGTGCTCCATCACACACAGCTGGGCTGTCCCCAGCCCGCTGTGCCGTCCAGGCCCTTGCACCCAGGTGGGTCCCAGACCGCCCTCCTGCTCACCTGCTCTGATCACCTCTCCCTTCCAGCCCCGGCCACCTCCTGATGAGAACCCCCCTCAAATGCTGCTGCCAGTGTCACAGCTCTGGGGACACAGCCCTCCCATCTCCACCAGGCGGGCAGCGGGGCACCAGTCCAAACCCTGTCCCTCGGCCAGACCCTCCGCCGGAGGCTGAGCTCATGCTTGGGAGGCAGCCACGGCCCCGTTCCCAGGGCAGAGGCACCCCCACCCGACCACGGCCAGGCTGTGGCCTCCGCCAGACCCATCCCGAGGCACCGTGTGCCCCCACATATGGTCCAGCCCCTCAGACAGCGGAGGGCCAGGTGCATGGGCAGGTGAGGGAGCCTGAGGGACCGACAGGACCCCTGAGGGCACTGTCCCCCCTGGTGCTTCCACCTGCCCCTCCGCCCCAGAGGCTTTTGTTGCACAGACCCTGGCACAGGAACAAAAGCAGCCCCTTTCCCTCCCAAAGGGTTTGCTGCCTTAGCCAACTGCTCCCGGCTGGCCGCCCGCCCCCAGCCTGGGTGTCTGGCACTGCCCTGCAAAGGCAGCGTGGAGGCCGGAGTGGGGACGGAGGGCAGCGCCAGGCCCAGCACAGCCTCTGCTGCCATCACCCCCTCAGTCACCCGTGGGGCGTGGCTGTCCAATCGATCCCCTTCGCGGAGGGACACCTCCTCCCTCCGAGCAGCCCTGCAGGCTGGGGGCCCAGACAGACCACCCCGCCCGCCCTCAGGGGCCCCCAGACCACCAGGCATGCCACACGGCCACATGGCCACACTGCCCTCCATTCCCTGGAGGGACCATTATGTGGCCATTCAAAAGGCCACCAGGTGACACTGTGGTAGCACAGGGAGATGCTTTCTACATAATGCAATGAAACATGAAAAAGCAGAGTGCAAAATTTGGTACAGCCCATAGTTTAACCGTTTAAAACAACAAATTATGTAATAAGAAAAACGACCGATCGGAAGGAAACGCAGTCACGCATCACTTAAGGACAGGGACACGTTCTGAGAAATGCGTCACCGGTTGATCTCGTCATCGTGCGAAGAACACCATGGAGTGTCCCAGATGGCACGGCCTACTGCCCACCACGAGGCCAGTGCCTCGCAGCCGCTGTTGTGGGCTGCAGACCTGTGCAGAATGTCGCTGCAGGGATACTGGGGGCAACCGATACACGGTGGTGAGCGTTTGTGTGTCTGAACATAGAAAAGGGACGGCCAAAACACGGCATGAAAGATAAAAGACGGTGCACCTGTAGAGGGCACTTACCCGAGTGGAGCCTGCAGCCAGGAAGCATCCCTGGCTGAGTCAGCGAGTGGTGGGTGAATGCGAAGGCCGAGGACGTCAGTGTCTGCTACACACTGTGCCCCGAGGCTACACTACACCGCATTTACTTTAAAAATAAGGCGATAGCGCAACAGGACGTTTGCAGCTCCACTATGATCTCACCGGCCCACAGCACTCCGAAACGTGGCGATCGGTACATGGCTGCTGTCACGAGGCAGTCTGCACTCAGGTTAGGGGGGCAAGGGGTGAGGGACAGGTTAGGGTGTAATGGACATTTCTTCTTTTATCACTTTCAAATTTTTTCTGAAATGACATTCCAGATGGTGAAAGGAAAAGAAATTAATGCTTAACGAGTTTTGTACCTGCAGGCACTTCACATTCATTAGCTCACTTGATCCCATCAGGGAGATGCTGTCATCCCATGTTTGGCTCAGAGAGGTTAAGGAACTCTCTCAGCATCACACAGTGTGGGGCAGAGCTAGGAGGGGCAGGAGAGCTGGATCACGTCAGAATCTGGGCCTCTCTTGGTCAGGGAAGAGCACCGTGGGAAGAGCCCAGGAGGTGCAGCAGGGCTCACTCACTCACTGACGATCATACCCCAGCCACGGCTGGGCCAGGCTCGCGCCCTTCTCTGGCCACTGGGCCGCACAACCCCATCCCCCACTGGACCAAGCTCGGCCTACTGGGTGCCTTTGCCCATGTCCTTCCCCCAGTGCCTGCAGGTCCCTCCTCCTCTCCTTCACACTGACAATCCCCACCCCACCCCCATCCTCAAGGCTGAGCTCATTCAGGTTTCTTCCAGGAAGTCCTCCCTGATTTCATGCTAGTGAGCCCCTTGGCCTCCCACAGCCCGGTAGTGAGTGCAGACGTTCCTGCCTGGACGGCCACAGGCTTCCTCACAGGTCTCCCCATGCCTGTCCCTTGCACCACAACCCATTCTCACACGCTGGCACAAGGGATGAGAAGGTCTGGGCCACTCCTCTGCTCACATCCTCCAGCAGTTCCCACCCCCACATCTTGCCCTCCACGACCTGCCTCTGCGCCCTCCCCAACTTCTTTCCACCTCCCCTCTACCCAGACTTGTCTTCTTTCTCTTTCTTAACAAATCGAATTCATCCCTGCCACAGGGCCTTTGCATCACCCATGACCCTCTGCCCCCACCGTTCTTGCTTGCCTGGCTTCTCCTCATTGCTCGGAATGCCTCCTATGGGTACAGAAGGATTTGCCCCCCGGGAGGGACAGCCAGGGCCTTCCAACGAGGCTGTACTAAGCGGGCTTGCCTGTGTGGGTCTGCCCACAGCTTCCTCACCCTTTCACACTGCCTGTCTGGCCCTGCCCATTGCCCCTGCCTTTGGCTCAAACTTTCCTTGACCCCTTACCCAGGACCCAGAGCGTCCAGTCTGGGCTTTGGTTGTTTTTGTCCCTCTAAACTTCCGTGCCAACCAGGTGCGATGGGCAGCAGCATCCTAACCTGCCGGCTGGAGTGTAATCAAAGCAAGGGCTGTGCCTGAAGATGTTTATCACAGCAATATGTATCAAAGTGAGGAACAAGAAACAATGTACTTTCAACTGCAGAGAAAGGGTAAGAAAATGTTTCCAATTCCTTCAATCACACTCTGCTTGGTGTAAACCTGCTGTGGCATCCCAGTTATTGGGATGAAAGCGAAACTCCCTGCACACCCCATGCTGTCCCACCCTAGTCCACCCGTGTCACACCAGGCTGCCCCTCTGCGCGCCAGCCACACCTGCTTGCTTGGGAGCCACACGCAGCTCCCTTCTGCCATGGAGCCCTTGCACGTGCTGTTCCCTCTGCCTGGAACGCCCTCCCCTCTTACCTACAGAACGGTCACCCTGCAGACCTTGGCTCCCACGTCCCACCCAGGGAAGCCTCTGCTGACCTCCCGGACCTGGCCAGGCCGCTGCCACAGGGTCTGATGACACTCAGCCTCCCCGACCAGACTGGGAGCCCCATCAGAGCTGGGACTGCAGCCAGTTTTGCTCAGAGTGAGAGCTCCAGTGGCTAGGACGGTGCAGACAAAGCTGGCCCCTAAGTTCTGTTCGTTGAATGAAGAGGGTGTTTTACAGCCAGTCGAAATGATGTACATGTGAGGTTCTTAATGACATAAAAAAATGCACTTGATCATAATAATTAAAAGGCAAAAAGCAGGTTTTCATGTTGTATACGAAACAAGATTGCAAATAGGTGAGAAAAAAGGTGGAAGGAGGTATAGCAAATTAATAGTAGTTGCCTTTAGCAGGTGGGATTTGGGTGATTTTACCCCTAAGTCAAACTTTCCAAATATTGCTCCGTGAGCTAGCTTAGATTTATCATCAGAAATAGCAAATAAACAACAGCTGCCCTCTGCCCACTGCCCTCAGGCCTGGCGCTTCCTGCCAGGACACCTTGGCCTGCTCCAGGGAGACCAGGGGTCAGACGAGGAAAGGTGAAAGGGCGAGGTCTGTGTGGGCAGAAGGCTGGTGGGAAGACGGGACAGGCTCCGGGAAGGCAGTCTCGGACCCCGGAGGGGGATGCACGGGACGGAGGGGCTGGGGTTTGAGCCCTGGCTGCATTCCACTAGCTGACTGACCTTGGGCAAGGTGCCGGAGCTCCCCAAACCCCCATTTCTTCCTCTCTAAGTGGGTCCGGCGGTGGTACCACCTCCCCAGGTCAGGGGAGCCTGAAGAGGGACGATACGAGCCTGCTCCCCGGCTCATTTTTAAAGGGTGCGCAGCCAGACATACGGTTCCAGTGAACCGCTGACTGCCAGGCTGGCAGAGAGGCCTGTGTCCCCGGGGCTGCCCCAGGAGGCCCCCTCCCCCAGGAGGCCCCCTAAAACCACCACCCTCAGCCCCACGCACCTTCCTTGGAGCCAGTGGCCGCCGCTGCCGAGGCCGAGCCCGTGGACGTGCGGCCCACGGGGCTGGAGTGCTTCCCCCCGCGCCCGGGGGGCTTCAGGCCGCTGGGCTTCTGCATGGCGGCGCCACTCGGTGGGCGGATGAGGATAAGTGCAGGTCACGTCCTCTCCGCCATCTTCCCTCGCCTGTGGGCAGAGACAGGAGAGACCACGTCATAAGGTCACCGGACCCTGCTGGGGCACTGGCCGGCCCCCTCAGCGCACCCTGACACCGACGCAGTGCCTTCACGGGATTTTGGCACCCCATCCTGCGAGGCAGAAACCATCACCACCCCCAGGGAAACCGAGGCACAGAGCAACAGCTAGCATGGGCGTCCCAGGACACAGGTCCTGTCTGCTGGACTCTGAGGCGGGGCGTGCTGTCCCCGGAATCCGGATCCAACAGGCCTGAGGGTCTGCAGCGGGGGCCGAGTTAACCCTGGGAGCCCGCACAGGGCCGGCAGGCCGGCACGGCCACCAACGTGCTGAGCGTGGCTCTCTCCATAGAGCACACACAGGCAACCCGTGGGTCACTTTCCAGTGGACCTCGAGGACCGGCCGGCAACACACATCCCTCCTGACGTGGGCTGGATGGAGCCAAACCTGTTTCGCCGGCCGGCCCACTGCTTCCCCGCGCCACACCGGCCACACGCCGGCTCTCGGGCTCACCATCCCAGCTCCTGCCTGCTCCATCCCAGGAGTGGGGACGAACACTTGGAGCAGCTGAACCTCAGTCCCCTCCTTGTCCCGTGGGCCACCTGCCTCGACCCCACACCAGGGCATTCTAGCCACCTGCCTTTCCACCTTAAAGCAGAGGAGGGGTGGTGCACACGGCTCGCAGAGGCACTAGCGCCCTATAAAGGGGACTCCTGAGGGGGACAAAGCCTCCAGGCTCCGTGGCAACTGGTTTAGGGGACAAGCCCACACCCACCCTCCCCCCGGCCTCTGCTCACAACCCCCTCCTGCACCAAGGAGTCACGGAGGGCTCGCCATGGGCCAGGCGTGTCCTGCCCAGAGCGGCAGGCAGGACGCAGCCTCTGCCCAGGGGAGCACCTGTCGGGGCGAGAGGGAGCACCACAGCCACATGGAGGGCCTCGGGCCCCTGGGAACACAGGAAACAGTGCCCGAGGGCACTCGGCTCTGAGGCAGCAGAGGACGGCACACACCTCGCCTGGGCAGCCATATCCTTGGTCACAGAATTGTATCCTGTTCTACACAAGCCTTTTTCTTCATTCTCGACCCGTATGACTTCTGTGTGCTGAGCCAACTCCCCCTCCTGCAGGGGACACGCGACCCAGGCCTGGCCGCCCGGACTCCCCATGGTTGGCTGAGGGAAGATCACCTCTCCCAAGGAACACCAGGCCTGGGCTGTGGCTGGAAGCCAGATGCTACAGGGCCACCCTGGTTACTGCATGCTAGAGCCTGCCAGGGAACAGGCCAGCACAGAGGCAGCAGAGCTGGTCCCTGCACCTGGGGGGCCTGGATCCAGCTGAGCCTGAAGCTGGCCCGTTGGGCTCTTCCCTTCCATCAGCCAACAAATCCCCACAGTTTTCTTTTTTCTTGCCTAAACCTACGTGAAGAACCCTGTCACTTGTACCCAAAAACGTTCTGACTAATACAGAAGCCAATCCATAATGCTCATGGCAGGAATGTGCAAAGTGCTCTCAGGCCAGCAGGATGAGTCAGCGATGCCATTACCTGTCCTGGCACAGCCCTGGGACGGATCAGCTCCTCCCGAGGGCTGTCAGCTACGAGAGCAGAGAAAAATGAGCTCCCCAGGGCACGCTGCAGGTTGCCCACATGCCCAGGGGAGCTGAAGGGAGGACCGGGCAAGCCTGCCCGCCCTGGCCTGGCCCCCAGAGCCCGCCAAATCCAACATTCCAGCTCCCTGGTACCCCAGGGGTCTGGGCACCGGGAGTCACTTGTCAGGGTGGGGTATGAGGTTGCTCCCTTGCTCCCCGGGAACCTGGCCCTCACCAAGGAACTGGACTGGGGCTTTGGACGCGGCTCTATGTAAGCCCAGCGAGGCTGAGTCAGCAGCTCCGAGCCTCGGGAACTCACTGAGCCAGCAAGTGGGGGTGGTCTCTGGTGACAGCGAATGCCCCACCCTGTGGGTGACTGAACAGACCTCCCACTCCAGTGGCTCAGCTAGGGGCCCGCTGACCTAGGAAATCCTGATGCAGCCCTTCCGCACTCTCGCACACGAGACAGGGGAGGTGTGTCGCTGGCATCGAGGCGGGTGCGAGGACTCCCTCCCTGTCCCTCCCCACCTCCAGGGCCTCTTCCCTGCCCAAAAACCCCACAGAGAAAACAGCTGCACGTCAGATAAAGGACTTGCATTCAGAAAACACAGCAAACCTTATAAATCACTAATAAGACAACAACTCAATAAAAAAGTGAGCAAAATAACTGAATACACATTACACCGAAGAAGATCCACAAACAGTCAACAAGCACGTGAGAAGATGACTGATGTCATTGGTCATCAGGGCGTTGCAGACCAAAACCACACTAGACACCACCGGGACAGCTAAAACGTTTCCCTCTCCCACGGAGCATCGGAGCTCAGAGAAGTCTGGGGACTCACCATAGTCACGCACTGCTTGGCGGCTGTGCTGGACCCAGACCTCCCCGTCCTGCCCGGCCCAGCCCTGGGATAACATTTGTGAGACCCTGGCCTCTGGGGACAGTGCACACTTGCCACGACCGACAAGCGACCAGGGAGCCGGCGGGAGAGGAGAACCAAGGCGGCATTCAGTCCGGCCCGGCCAGCCCGCGGGGGGAGCTGCCCCGTCCCCCAGGAGCGCCCGGAAGGGGAGCAGGGAGGAGAGAAGAATGGTGAACAGGAAGAGGGGGGAGGCCAACCGCCCTTCTGTGACTCAGCCGTGCTCATGGGACAGAGGAAGAGAGAAGGTTTCTTGGAAAAAGCTGGGACATGGTGATAAATTGGCCTCCGGCCAAGCTGTGGCTGACGTGGGAGGGGGAAGGAGTAGAGTTAAGCCTCGTGCAGCCCACGGTCCAAACCCCAGACCTACTCCAAGGGAGCCCTGGGCCTGACCAGAGCCTCAGTTTCATCACCTGTAAAACGGGGTGCAAGCAACGGTGCCTCACGGCAGCACCAACCCAGGCAGAGAGGGTGCCCAGGAGCGTCCCTGGGTGCCTGGCACATGTCCCCGCTCGGGAGGGCGGCTGCTGTACTCTCTGGCCCCGTGGAGAAGGCCGGCGGTCCCGTGCCCAGCCGTGGCGGGCGAGGGCGGGCGGCATTCGGACCGACAGGCCCCCTTTGTGCCGCCTCAACTGCCATTTACCGCAGACAAACCCGGGCCACGTTTCAGGGTTTCCATTTCAGCTGCCCGGGGGTGGCGGGCCACAGTCTCAGAACTCTGCGCCAGTGGAGCCCGCCGGGAGGGGGAAGGTGCCAAATAGGGCAGTGGAAAGCCCGGCTGGGCGGCCAGCAATGTCCTGTCCCGAGGGCGAGGGGGCGGGCACCAGGAAGCGGGTGCGCCTGCCAGGACCCTGCCTCGGCTCCCCCGGGACACTGCTGCTGGCTGAGGCCGTGCCCTCCCCAGGACCCTCAGGGTGCCGTGCCCACCTCCTGACCTGTGACCCGCATGCGGGCCCACACAGCACCCAGCTGCTGCCCATGAGCCACAGGCCACGAGGCGCAGGGCACCTGGGGGGGGCGAGAGCTCGGGCACAGGGAACCACGCAGGGCATGGGGGCGGGGCGGGGGGCGGAGGGCCTGGGGCCCGGCAGGGGAAACTGCGGAGGCACAGACTACGCTCTGCGGGGTCGACCGCACAGCCAGGATTTCGTGAGGCTGACATGGAGGGGTGACAGGCACAGGCCGGGGGATGAGAAGCCCTGGAAAGACTTCAGGCGAGGGGTCCCACGGGACCAGATGTGCACGTCAGCAAGACGAGCTGGGGGGACACTGGGGATGGACAGGACGGAACTGGGACAGAGAGGGAGGATGATGCCAGGAGGGGATGGGAGAAGGCAGGGGCTAGAAGGGAACACAAAGGGACCACATGGTGCCAACTCGAGGGCAACCCGATGACAGATGGGTAGGAATAGGACCAGCCTTCGCAGAGAGGATCCAGGCTGGACGACCCACTGGCAGACGGACCAAGGCACTAGGAGGCAGGTGCGCCTCCCCCGGCATCAGGGAACGGCAAATCCAAGGCCACTATCAGACGGGGACTCAAAGGCCTGGCAATGCCAAATACCTGGGCCAGGTGCCTGACGTGAGGGCCTACTGGGAGCTGGCTGGTCCCCAGTGGGTCCTCACCAGGAAATGCGGCCGTATGGCCCAGGAGACAACCGCAGGACACTCACAGCGGCCCTCAAGGTAAGAGCAGGGCTACAGGTTTTGGGGGGCAGGGAAACTGAGGTTTGCTTCTTAGCCCCAGTGGATATAAATGGGCCTTCAATGCATCCTGTCTATTCCTTTGAATGCCTAAAATATTTCATAGCCATTTTTTAAAAGAAAAATGAATATAGACACAGTGTGGGGTGGTGGGGAGGAAACCATCTCCCCCACTGCATACCCACCGAGAAGAGTGGGGGGCAGACACAAATGACTGGGCCCCCTCAGGTGCTGACTGCCAGGCCACAGCCCCCAAACCAACAGCAAGCCCTTATCTGGGCACAATGGGGGCTCCCCCAGCCACACCCTCCCCCAGAACATCAATGTCCCTGTCGGCATTAGACACCCTGCGGCACCCAGTGCCACACCCCATGGGATCCGGCCCCAGCACCCGTCCCATTCGGCTTGCAAGGAGGTTCGCTGTCTGCATCCGACTGAGGCTCAGGGGATGTGAGCAGCTTGACTTAGGTCACCCCGTGGTGAAGCTGGAGTCCCCACGTCCTCCCTGCCCAGGGCAACAGAGGGCAGGGCTGGACGGGCCCCTCCCTGCGAGTCTTGCCAGCTCTCGGGTGGAAGTCAAGGCTCCGAGCCTCGCCCCAGCGGCCCCTTGGGCCTGGGAGAGCCAGAGATGGTGCCTGGCCGCCGGTGCCCCGCCCCACACCCACCCCGCGCTCTCACGCGGGCAGCCAGGTCCACCGGAAGTTGCAGCCAGCCCAGGCTGCGCAGGCTCACACAGCTGCGGGCCAGTGTCGGGGGAACGGGGAAGCCCCTAGAAGAAAAAGGGCCCTGGTGGGGGTGGGTCCCAAGTCACGCTGAGAGCACTGAGGGCCCAGCAGCCATCCCGTGAGTGGAGCCGAGAGCCAGCGTGGGCAGAAGGCCCATCCAAGCACCAAGGCAGAGCCACAGGCCAATGTGGCTGGGAGGACGGCAGGGCAGGGCATGCTGTGCGGCTGTGTGGACAGAGTGTGGGGCACTCACGGGCTGAGCAGGGAAGGACAGGCCAATGCCAAGTGCCCCCGTAAACCTCCAACGTCTCTGGCACCTGCAGCTGGGAGGGCAGCCTGTGCTCTGGTCCTGCACACTCGCCACCTTGCTACCTCCAAGCTCAGGGCCCCCATTCCCCTTTTGTAAAGTAGGCATCTTCCCAGCCCTGCCAACAGCCTGGGGTGACTGCAGAGCCCTGGGAATAGCCAGCCTGTCAGTCCTGCCTGAGCTGGACATACACACACAGCTGGCGTGCTCAGAACTGGAGCATGGCCACGGCCCAGAGCCCGGCCTAGCTGTGTGGCCATACACAGCCTCAGAGACTGGACAGTCAGGACCCTCCCACCGCTGGCCCATGGTACTGGCTCTGCGGGCTGGGGTCCCCCAGCAGCACCAGGGAGAAGGCTCTGGGAACACCCATGATCCACTTTTATTCCCATTTCACAGAACGAGAAACTGAGGCCCAGAGCATTTACCCAAGATCATACAGTGAGTGAACAGGACAGTGAGATTCAACCACCCAAATGCAGAAAATCTATGCTGGGTAAGAGGGTCTCCAAAACCAGACAGAGTCAGAGCTCCAGGGAGGGGAGGGGCCTGCTGAGGTCGGCCAGGCATTGGGGCAGAGCAGGAGGGAGGCAGGCTCAAGCATCCTGCCCCCCATGCCAGGGTGCTGACCCAGTCATCTCTCTGTCAGGCTTCCTCCCTGGGGCCAGAACTGCACTAAAGTCACCCCTGAGCAAAGGACGGTCTTTATAATGAGTGATGCTGGGTCAGCTGGTTAACCACATGGGCATGGGGGAAAAAGCCACGATCCCTCCTGTGGCCAGCAGAAAAGTGGTTCTAACAATGGCCATGTCCGCATCCCTGGAACTTGGAATATGTTACGTTACGTGGCAAGGGGGAATTAAGGCGGCAGATGGGATTAAAGTCACTAACCAGTTGACCTTGAGATGGAGACATTATCCGGGACGACCAGGGTGGGCCCGACGTAACCAGGAGGGTCCTCATCCGTGGAAGACGGAAGCAGGAGGGAAGAAACCAGAGAGAAGGCAGCTCGCAAAGGACACGATCCGACATTACGGCTTTGAAGGTGGAGGAAGGGGCCGTGGGCCAAGGAATGCGGGCGGCCTCCGGAAGAAGGAAAAGGCTAAGAAACAGTTTCTCCCCTGGAGCGTCCAGAAGGAACCCAGACCCACTACCACTTTGATTCCAGCCTGGCGAGATCCATTTCAGACTTCTGATCTCCCCAGCTGTGAGATGATACATGTGGTGTTTTCAGCCCCTCAGTTCGTGGTAGTTCGTTACAGCAGCAACGGGAAACTAATACACTTATTTTACTGTATGCAAAACATCAATTCCACGTGGACACCAGACCTATTCATAAATGTGAAAGGTAAAACTAAGTTTTTAGAAGACAGCACAGAAGATCTTCACAACATTAGGCAAAGATTTCCTAAATAGGACGAGGAAAGTGCTGCCAGTAACGGACGAGATGGATAAACCGGACAGTGTTGAGACTAAGAGCTTCTGGGCATCGAGTGACACCACCAAGAGAGACACAGGCTGACAGGGCAAGGCGCAGACAGGGAGAGGACACGTGCACGTCACGACAACATCCCCCAGAATAAATAAAACGAAAAAGACTCACCACACCAAGCATGGGCGAGGGTGTAGACACCCAGAACGTGCACACACTGCTAGTCGGCGTGTGCACTGGTCTTGGCAGTTTGGAAGACAGTTTGGCATTATATACTACACTAAAGCTGGACACACAAAACCCTGTGACCCAGCAGTTCCACTCCCAGGTACCTCCCCAACAAACACACACACACCAAGAGATGTACTACTATTCCTAACAGTCCCAAACCGAAAATAACCCGAATATCCATCACCATCAGAAGGAGGAAAGAAAGTGTGGCGTGTTCACACACTGGAATAACACACAGCGATGAGAATGCAGGAACTATAGCCATGTGCAACCCTGTGTACGAACCTCGCAATTATAATCTTGAGTGAAAGAAGTCAGACATAAAAAGGTACCTATGAGTCTATGCTTCCGTTTAAAATGAAGTTCAAAGACAGGCAGGATCCACTGATGGTGCCACAGTCAGGGAAGGCTCATTATTACCCTTGGGTTGGGGTACCGACTGGAGGGAAGAGAGGGCGGGGCTTTGGGAGCTATCGGGTCTGATCCTTGATTTGGGTGCATGTTCCAGAGACATTTCAGCTTAAGAAAATTCAACGAGCTGTTCACTTACAATACTGGCACTTTTCTGTATGGATGCTACACTTCAGTAAAAAAGTTTCGTTTTTTTTTTGAGACAGAGTCTCGCTTTGTTGCCCAGGCTAGAGTGAGTGCCGTGGTGTCAGCCTAGCTCACAGCAACCTCAAACTCCTGGGCTCAAGCAATCCTCCTGCCTCAGCCTCCCGAGTAGCTAGGACTACAGGCATGCGCCACAATGCCCGGCTAATTT